GGGAAGGAAGGAAGGAAGGAAGGAAGGAGAGAGGAGGGAAAAGAGGGAGGGAGGGAGGAAAGAAGGATGGAGGGAAGGAAAAGGAAGGAAGAGAGGAGGGAAGGGAAGGGAGAAGGAAGGAAAGAAGGGAGGAAGAAGGAAAGGAAGGAAGGGGTGAGAGAGAGGGAGGAAGGAAAGGGAGGGAGGGAGGAACAAAGGAAGAAATAAGGGAAAGAAGGAAGGAGGGAGGCAGAGAGAGGAGGGAAGGAAGGGTGGAAGGAAGAAAAGAAAGGGAGGACGGAAAGGAGGAAGAAGGAAAGGAAGGAAGGAAGGAAGGAAGGAAAGAAGGAAGGAATCAATCCTGGAGGGGGAGAAGGGATCTTAAAGATCTTCCAGCCCAGTCATGAAAATGAACCAAAAGCTGACTGAGGTTTGCTTGCTTTCTTTTCCAGGCCAAAAGGAACCGAGAACATTGGTTTGATGATCTTCCAGGGACAGCTTTCCTCATTTTTAAAGGTGAAAAAACTCTGTGTTTCTATAGAACTATAGAATCACAGGGCTGGAAGGGACCTTGGAGGTCTTCTAGTCCAACCCGCTGCCCAAGCAGGGGCCCCTCTACCATCCCTGGCAAAGGGTGGTTCCAGTCTCTTCCTGGGATGGAGAACTCACAACTCACAACTGGAGGGAAGCCATCCCGGTGATGAATGGTTCTCTCGGTCCAGAAATTCTTCTCTATTTCTAAGTTGGATTCCCTTCTTGATCTGTTTCCATCCATTACTTCTTGTCCTGCCCTCGGGGGCTTTGCAGAATAAGGCAAAGAGAAAAAGGGAGAAGATAGCAGCCTGGCGTATTTCCAAGAAAACGTCGAGAAGGATGTCCAAAAAAAGAAAAGAAAAAAGCATTTAATTCTTTTGCCTTGTCTCTTCTTCCTTTCAACAGGCATTAACATATTAGTGAATTCTCGGGCTTTCCAGTACGGCATGTGTAAGTCCCTCTTCACTCTGTTTGGGGTGGAGGGTGAGGGGCTAACGGATAGAATTCTACCACGTATTAAAGTGGAGTTTCATTTTACCAATAATGCTGATCGACTTCAAAGTGGACATTATTAGGCTCCCAGAATCAAGAAAGACCCAATGTCAACTCATAAAAAATATTTCTATGGTCTTTTTAGAGTGGCCAACAGAAAGGGGGGGGGGGGGAGCAGTGCGGCAGCTTGGAAATCGAAAGTGAATTCCATAAATAGTTTTTCAAAGATGGTAACGAGGTGACCGAAGTTTCTGCCGAGCAAAATTCTAACTGGAGAACATGATGACTCTGGGCTGTGGATGTGTCCCATTGGAGAATATGAATTATGATACACCCAGGCAGTGCCGGCACGTTAACTCCCAATAAATCTTTTTGAACTTATATAAGTTTGGCTCGAGACATGTGATTTAATTGGGGGTAACTGCCGGAATCCTGACACCCATAGGTGAGAGGTAGCCCTCAACTTACAAGAGTTCACTTAGTGACTGAAGTTACAACGGCACTGAAAAAAAGTGACCCATGACCGTTTTTCACACTTAACGGCCGTTGCAGCTACCCCAGTGGTCACAAGATCAAAATTAGCAGCAGAAACTTTGGGCTCGCTCAGTTGCAGTCGTAAGCCAAGGAGTACCTGTACTTCCAAGCCGTCGTCTTTATGGTTCCTCACCTGCAGACGGAAATCTTGCCAAACTGAAGCAGACCACATGCACCGTTGAACATACCCTTTGGGAACTACTAAGGAGGAGCCGTCTTCACCTCCTTTCCCACACACAAACTCTCTTAAGCTGTGCTGTCCCTTGGTCCTCCGGGAGTGCAGCCCCTCCCTCCTGGGAATCCAGGCTATATTCCACCGCAGTCGATCCCTGCCCAGGCAATTTCAGTCCCGAGTTGCAACAAATCCAAGTTGCTCCAGCCGATTGAAATGTCCAAGCTTAATCCCGAAGAGTGAACCTCAAAGAGTTGTATTTTTTTTTTTTTCCTTTGGCCACTTCACCTTTTTGTGCTGTCGCTTTTCAACTGGAAACCCAACAAAGGCAAGGATTGTCTTGACGGGAATTAATCGGACGTCAGCTGCAGCATGAGCCTTAAATGTTGGGGAGGAGGGTAAACGTTGCGGAAGGCCCATTGACCCAAAGGTTGGATTCCACCGGAGCATCTCGCCAACGCATGTTGGTCCCACTAGAGGGTTTTGTTTCAAAACACTCGTTTTCCATTTGTGTCTTGCAGATATTTTGGTGGCCGTGAATGGACTCTGGATTCTAGTGGAAACCTTCATGTTGCGAGGTACGACACAACGTAATTGAATATCTGCCGACTGAGTCCGCCTTCCCTTCCTTCTGACTGGTTTTCAGTTGTTCTCTGAAACTCCCTGCTGTTTCTTTTTCAGACGGCATCTTTTCTCGAGACGTCCCCTGGAGTTACATCATGTTCCTCACAAGTAAGTTCTTTAGCAACTTGGGGCCAGGGGTGGGATTCTACCAGTTCGCCCCTATCCGCTAGAACCGGTTGTGAACATTCTAAGCAGTTCGGAGAACCGGTTGTTAGAAGAAATGACTGGGCTAATCCTGTAAGGAAGGCAGGAAGGAAACATTCTGGTGTTGCTGACAGAAACTGCCTCTCCGTTAACCCTTATTACGTTCTTGGCAGGACTAGACTTCCTGTCTCAGGGACGTCTCTGGAGTTTTTCCCCCCTCCTTTGCTGGTACTTTGCTTGTGTGGAGTGACCATTCAAAGTTACAATGGCACTGAAAAAAGTGACTTATGACCATTTTTCACACTTACGACTGTTGCAGCATCCCCACAGTCATGAGAGGCCAGGTGAGGAGATGCGTGCCTCGATGTGAGGGATATTGAGTCGGCCACGCCCAGCCAGTGACATGACCATCAAGCCATGCCCACCAACTAGGCCATGCCCACAGAACCAGTTGTTAAAAACATTGAATCCCACCCCGAACTTTGGCTTCCAAGACGGCGCCTGGAGGCATCTTTAGAGAATAAAAATGTGGAGGCATTGGAAGGAAAGAATAAATGGAGTACAATACATTGGGGTATGGAGTGGCATGGTGGCCTGGAGGTGGAACTCTGGCCTCACAATCAGGAGGCCGTGAGTTCGATCCTGGGTAGAGGCAGATACTTCTCTCTGGACGCAATGAGAATATATCTGCTGAACAAAACTCCACCCTGGTGACAGGAAGGGCATTGGGCCAGTAAACACTCAGGTCCTTTCACTTGCCCCGACTCCACCCCGCAAAGGATTACGGGGTCATTAAACGACAACAATACATTGGGGGTACTGATAGAAGAGAGAATATCTGTAGCTCAGGGTTGAATTGCAGGGTCTTTGATGGTTTCTTGCAAATGCATAAATACGTGTGCAAAATAAACCTTAATAGAAATTGTACAGCGATGAAAAAAATCGCTATCCCAGCACTTTCCCTTCTGCGTTGACAGTCTATGGGGTCGAGGTGCTGTTGAAGGTTACCGGCCTGGGGCCGAAAGAGTATCTCTCGTCTGGCTGGAATCTGTAAGTATCTCCCCACTTAAGGGATTTCACACTGAGGACTTGTAAGATGCCACCCAAAAAAATCAACTTCTCTCTCTTGCGCCTTTTTTCCCCCCAGTTTTGATTTTGCCGTCACTTTGTTCGCGTTTTTGGGTCTCCTGACACTGGCGTTCGACATGGAACCTTTCTACTTCATTGTTGTGCTGCGGCCTCTGCAGTTACTCAGGTGAAGATGCAGGATGGGTACCAGACCCCTGTAGAACGGTGTGTGTGTGGGGTGTGTGGGTGTGGGTGTCTTCTAGCTATTGAGAAACTACAAGTCCCAGAATCCCTTGTTCTTTGACCCCAAGTTGCAAGGAATCATCATCATCTTCTTCTTCTTCTTCTTCTTCTTCTTCTTCTTCTTCTTCTTCTTCTACTACTACTACTACTACTACTACTACCTCTACCTCTAGCTCTACCTCTACCTCTACCTCTACCTCTACTCTACCTCTTCTTCTTCCTCTACCTCTCCTTCTTCTACTACTTTTTCTTCTTCTTCTTCTTCTTCTTCTTCTTCTTCTTCTTCTTCTTCTTTTTCTTCTTCCTCTTCCTCTTCCTCTTCCTCTTCCTCTTCCTCCTCTACCTCTACCTCTACTTCTTCCTCTACCTCTTCTTCTTCTTCTTCCTCTTCCTCTTCCTCTTCTTCCTTCTTCCTTCTTCTTTCTTCTTTCTCTTCTTCCTCTACCTCTTCCTCTTCCTCCCCCTCCTCCTCTTCGTATTCTCCTCCTCCTCCTCGTTCTCCTCCTCCTCCTTCTCCTCTTCTTCCTACTTCTCCTCCTCCTCCTTCTCTTCCTGTTCTCCTCCGCCTCCTCCTGTTATGATTCAACAGCTTCCTATTCCTTCTCAAGATTGAAGCCCACATACCTTAAAGCATGCTACCTGGAGAATTCTGGCAATACAAGACCTCCCATCTTAAAGCGGGCTGACTGAGGAGTTTTGGAAGTCCACCTATTTTCAAGTTGCCAAGGTTGGAAAACACCTCTCTAGAGAGTCATGCATTATTATTATTATTATTTTTGTTTCCTTTCTCTTATTGCAGGCTGTTTAAATTGAAGAAACGCTACCGGAATGTCTTGGATACGATGTTTGAACTCCTTCCAAGGATGGCCAGGTAGAGAGAGAATGAAAGGTTCCTGCCCGGATTGGCTGCTGGGGGATGGAAATCTACATGTTTTTATTAAAGTTTTATTAAAATAGAACTCCCATCGTTATCCTCATTGTGCGACCTAGTGCTCCACCACTGGACGTTTTTAAGAAGAGATTTGACAGCCATTTGTCCAGAATGATAGAAAGTCTCCAGCTTGGGCAGTTGTGGGGGTTGAATGGCTGCAGGAAGTGGGACTGTCTAATCAAAAGAAGATAAGGCCTAGGATAAGATAGATAAGGTAACCTTTATTGCCATTTTTTTCCTGCGGGACTCACTCTGGCACACATTAAAAATGAAATTATGTGCCCCGCTTTCAAAAGTGTACACATACACAACACATATATTGATATGCTATAGAATAGAATAGAATTCTTTATTGGCCAAGTGAGATTGGACACACAAGGAATTTGTCTTGGTGCAAATGCTCTCAGCGTACATAAAAGAAAAAAATACATTTGTCAAGAGTCAAGAATCATCAGGTGCAACTCTTAATGATAGTCATAGGGTACAATAAGCAATCAAGTGACACTAGGAAACAGTCAATATAAATCGTAAGGATACAAGCGACAAAGTTACAGTCATACAGTCACAAGTGGGAGTGGATGGGTGATTAGGAGTGATGAGAAGATTAATAGTGGTAGTAGTGCAGACTTTGTAAATAGTTGGACAGCATTGAGGGAATTTTTGTTTAGCAGAGGGATGGCTTTCAGGAAAAAAACTGTCCTTGCGTCTAGTTGTTCTGGTGTGCAATGCTCTATAGTGTCATTTTGAGGGTAGGAGTTGAAACAATTTATGTCCAGGATGTGAGGGGTCTATAGATATTTTCCCAGCCCTCTTTTTGACTCATGCAGTATACAGGTCCTCGATTGTAGGCAGGTTGGTAGTAATCGTTTTTCTGCGGTCCTTATTACTCTCTGGAGTCTGTGTCTGTCCTGTTGGGTTGCAGAACCAAACCAGACAGTTATAGAGGTGCAGGTGGATACCGTGTTTCCCCAAAAATAAAACCTGGTCTCTATAATTTTGGGGGGGCTCCAACAAAAGTGCCAGGGCTTATTTTTGGGAAAAGACTATATACATGCATACTAGGGGTGACATGATAGCAGTCATCCAATATTTGAGGGGCTGCTGCAAAGTAGAGAAGGTTGACTTAATATCCAAAGCACCAGAGGACAGGACAAGAAGCAACGGATGGAAACCAATCCAGGAGAGAAGCAACCTAGGAGAACTTTCCTAACAGTGAGAACAATCAACCAGTGAAACAACTTGCCTCCATCACTGGAGGTTTTCAAGAAGAGACTGGGCAGCCATTTGTCCAGGATGATATAAGGTTTCCTGCTTGAGCAGGGGGTTGGACTAGAAGACCTCCAGGGTCCCTTCCAACTGTGTTAAAAAGCCACCTTGTTGAATTGTACTTTTCCAAATCCTTTTCCTTTCTCTTCTAGCCTAGGCCTAACTTTACTCATCTTCTACTACTGCTTTGCCATAATTGGCATGGAATTCTTCTCTGGCAAACTCTATCCAAACTGTTGTAAGTAAGTATCTCCAAGTTCCTTCTCTCTGAAAATATATACATCAATTCAATTTGCCCATAGATCAGTGCAGCTTGCTATATTAAAACTGAAGTGTCGACCTCTGTTTTGCTCAGTTGCTTAGCTGCTAACTTTTTTAAAAAAAATCTCAGCCAGAGATGATAGGAAATAGTTTTCAACAACTTCTTGTGGTCTGGTGTCCTTGGTGCTCTCTGAGCTGGGTGGTATAGGCAGAGGAATGTTTTATGAGTTGACACTCTGGCTTCTTTACAGCCCAAGAAACTTGGGAGGGTCCCGCTGCGCAGTCTTTTATCTGACCATTGTAGATTTTTGAACCCGGGGCCACCTCTCTCTCTATCTCCGTTCATTTGTTCGTTCTTTTCTCATCCAGCACCAGCACGGTGGCCGATGCCTTTCGTTGGGTCAACCGCACCATTGGGAACAAGACTGTGGTGGACCAAGGCTACTACTATCTCAACAACTTTGACAACATTTTGAACAGTTTCGGTAAGAGCTCCAGCCCAAACACCCACCCTCCTTTTTCAAACATCAACTTGCGGGTCTGTGGGAAAGTCATTCTCTGTTTTGTGTTCTTTCTTTTCTTTTCTTTTCTTTCTTTCTTTTTTTCTTCTTTCTTTCTTTCTTTCTTTCTTTCTTTCTTTCTTTCTTTCTTTCTTCTTTCTTTTTTTTCTTTCTTTCTTTCCTTCTCTCTCTCTCTCTCTCTCTCTTTCTTTCTTTCTCTCTTTCTTTCTTTCTTTCTTTCTTTCTTTCTTTCTTTCTTTTTCTTCTGCTTCTATAGCCGCCCGTCTCGGTAAAAGACACAGCGAAGGCTTATGATGCCAAGAATCTATTACAGTCCAAACACTTCAAAAAATGTTTTAAAATGATAAAAAAGCAATAGAAACTTCCCCCAAAAACAATCGCAGTAGCGCTTAGACTTATATACCTCTTCACAGTAGCCCTCTCTAAATGGTTTTACAGAGTCAGCCTATTTCCCCCAACAATCTGGGCCCTCATTTTACCCACCTCAGAAGGATGGAGTCAACCTTGAGCTGATCAGAATCGAACTCCAGGCTGTGGGCAGAGTCTGCCTGCAATCCTGCATTCATAGATAGATAGATAGATAGATAGATAGATAGATAGATAGATAGATAGATAGATAGATAACAAGGAAGCAAGCAAGCATGCAGGCAGGCCGGCACAGAAAAACTGAGAGACAGACAGATAGAGATAGATAGATAGGTAGACAGGCACAGAGACATAGAGAGAGTGACAGATAGACAGAGATAAACATAGATAGATAGCAATAGCACTTAGACCTATATACCACTTCACATTGCTTTCCAGCCCCCTCTAAGCTGTTTACAGAGTCAGCCTCTTGCCCCCAACAATCTGGGTCCTCATTTTACCCACCTTGGAAGGATGGAAGGCTGAGTCGACCTTGAGCCGGTCAGGATCGAACTGCTGCCAGTAGCCTGCAATACTACATTCTAACCACTGGACCACCAGGGCTCTTTTACTACCACTTGAAGTTTGCGAATGACCTTCAGGGGTCCTTGAATTGTTCCCTGTTTCTGATCTCTTCCCCTTTACTCTTTTTAATGCAGTGACCCTCTTTGAGTTAACGGTAGTCAACGATTGGTACATCATCATGGTAAGTCTATAGAAAACCCCCTTGTGTGTTGGAGTAATTGCATGTCAACCTAAATAACCACCATCTTTCGGGTCCTTTCGGTTCCACAATATTGCAATGAATAAGCCAAAGCGAGGAATGGTTAGTGTTCTGACCTAGACCTTCCCAAGATCATGAAGCAGATTCTTTGTCCCGATAAAACCCCTTTTATTTAGGTTAAAGTGAATTCCTCTCCAGCAAAGTCTCGGCCAACAATCTTTCATGAGATTTCACTATTACAGACCTTTGTCAAGCATGGAGAGTTGCCAGGCCGATAGCTTCCAAACGCCACACTGTAGCAGCAATAACTTGGCACGAAGTCAGGAACAGATCTTCACCCTCATGAATTGAACTTATTGTCTCCTGCAAAACCCCACTCCCCTTTTGCTCCTCTTTATTCCTTATGGGAGGCGCCATTCACCGTCCACCTGTGCCCTTACTCCCGAGTCAACCCTTGTTCCTTAGCTGTTCCCTTCTTCTAGCAGCTCTGCACATGCGCACACAGAACAGGCTCCAGCTGTTCTTCTGCCCCACTGATCTCCAACTCTGAAGGCAGCTGATAACTGTCGGCCCCATCTCTGCCTCCGATGCAGAGCCCTCGTCAGAGCCTTCCCCAGACTCCAGGACTGACCCATATTCCCCCCCAACCTCCTCACTGTCCGAGGCGGGCCACAACACTTAGAGCACTACTGATAGCTAAGAAAATGCAGAGCGGGGAGAGGGGGAGGGATATATGATTGATGATAGATAGATAAGATGATAGATAGATAGATAGATAGATAGATAGATAGATAGATAGATAGATAGAT